AAAAAAAAGATAAAATATAGGCGTAAACGCATGGTGGTCGGTCGTCGAAGTGTCTTGGCACGTGATTACGATGTCCCCAAGCGACCCATATTCTTATTGGATGACTGGGATATTGTACAAGGAACAGACGCCGCGGCGTACGTCTCGAGTAGTGTAACAGATGGTATTATGTACGGCACCAACGGGTACGTGGGTGTTCGTCACCGCAGTGAGTCCGAGACCGTCCTTTTTGAAACGAGTGTATTCATGAACGGGGCATACCACAGTGTGCCACTCGACACCTATATTGATAGTGAGGCTTTGCCGGAAGAGATGCAGGTTGGAGCAACGATATGTGGTGTCGACCTTGACTGCCTCATTGATGGCGAGTCCGGCACTTTAAGGGCTATGCCGATACGGCGTCTCGGTCTACGTGATGCAGTGTATCGGAGTAACTGCCACGATGTGATTAGCGGGGATGGTGGACTCATGTTTGACGGGTCGTACCGTCGCGTAGTTTCCCTGAATGAGCTAGACTTATGGGGAGCGGATATCGTGTACAGTGGTTTCTCTCTGAACTCCTCGCTTGGTGATGTGCCGTTGGGTTATACGTCCACCTCTGCCCACACCAGAGATAGTTTGGATGTGGGCTGTAATGAAGAACACTCTCCAACCTACTTGGTCGAGTTTGTCGTAACACTTAGAGTGGATTTGGAGGAATGGTCACTTCTACGGGGAGAATCTAGTGATGACATATTGGTGCAGTCGCGTTCATCAGGTGTGGTGGTAAACACAGTCTCACAGGTCACGTGCGTCGTGGACCATGGTACAAACTCCTCAAAGATCGTACCGGAGCTGGAAGTATTGTGTGACACAGAGGACAGTGCCTTCTCTCCCCACGATCGACCTTTTGCAGCGGCACCATACATGAGTGACAGTGAGAGCGACCCGGGTTTCGCTACGCGCCCCCCATCGTTTTTTGTTCCCCCTCAGGGCCGATATATTTCCTTTAGGAAGAGATTTCCCTTCACCCTTAGTGCGGAAAATGTACCGAAACAGGTGACACTGACGTTTTTGGCTCGTCATCATACTGACAGTGTGCCACCTCCACGCCCGTTTCCATCCATGTCGGACATAGTATCACAGCAACGCGACATGCTCGACAAGTTTTGGAGCAGTTTTCATATTGATTTGCAACTGCAAGAGGAATTAACGCCAAATCGTATGCGTCTTGCCCTTTTATATAATGGCTTTAGGTTGTTTTGTGTATCCTGTAACCTGCATAATGGTATGCCACGCAGGGGGTACTCAGCAACGAAGACGAACCTTCTATGTGATCTTCAACAGTATTTATACCACGGCATCTTCTACACATTCACGTCACCACCGCACGCTTTGGAACTCATCAGAAGTTTATACTTGCTACTTCCACAGGCACGCAAGAACGCACACCGTATCTCTTTAAATCATGGTGCTGTTTTCCCACGTAGTACTATTAAGGGAACTGAGTGTCGGCATTACAGTACTGTCAACCATGCGCGGCTGCACGTAAATGCTGAAATTGGATACGTCATCAATATGTATTTCACAGCAGTAGAAGACATTGACAACAGGGACCGTTTATGGCTTTTGGAACTAATGCTAGAGACAGCACGAGTGTGGCCACAGTTAGGTGAGTGGGTGGAAAATGAGGCAGTGTTTCGTCTAGATAATATTGCAGGCCCTGATGAGTACAATGGCAGTGCCTCTGGAAATTTCTACATTCACCTATCCGCGAAGATGCATCTTCGTAAAGCTCTGAAGCTTTTTGAACGACAACGCGAAATTATAGGAGAAGATGCGATATTGCGCTTGTTGAAACAGATTGACATGGACAAGGATGAGCTTCAAAATTTTGAGGCCACCTCGGATGGTATCGTTATTCGCCGCAATGACCACCTCGGTGTGTACCTCGTACACGACCATTTCCACACATTAAAGGACTGGAAGGGCGAACGTCCGAAACATCCATTGTCGATGAACTATCACCCACTTGCGATATTCTGTCACAAAGTCGTTGATATCCCTGAGGTACTTTTAGGTATGTTGTTGTACCAAGATGAATTTGAAAAAGGAGACTTTGTTCGGAATTTGGCCTACTACGAGCCTCTTTGCACATATGACTCCCCGGAGTCACTAGGGGTCGTCGCGGCTATGGAGTTTAATGTCAATGGTTCGTTTGCTCACGGTATGCCACTGTTGCGCTCATTGCTGAGCCTTGATTTGGACAACCTCATCTACACTGCAGAGGAGGGACTTGATTTTGGCGCCATGTCGTCCTCATGGTTTGCGGTTGCCTGCGGCATTGGTGGCCTTCGGTTGTGGAATCGCAACCTTCACCTAGACCCCTGCTTCCCGGCGGGATTGAGTGCTGTAAGCTTTACGGTATTTTGGCACGGGGCGACAATGCGCACTACAATTGATACAGACAAGATCACATACGAACTCATCTCGGGAGACAGCCTTCGTTTTGTGCACGGAAATGGACATCGGATCCACCTCCACGTTGGTTTCCGTCATTGCGCTACCAAAAGGCAAGTGAGTGTCCCTCGGCTGCTCTGCAGCAGACAAGGGGTGTTTGACGGTGCCGTCTTTCTCTGCGAATCAATCTTTGATGACATCATGGATATCAATTATGTGGCGTGGAACAATACATTAGAGGCGCTCTTTGAGAACTACCGAACCCTCCACCTCCGAGAAATACATCCCTTAACAGCGGAGGAATTCGTTGAGAAGGTCATTTACCAGGCCGAGCATCGTGAAATTGCGTTTAGTGGCATTCACAACGTCCTGCTTGACCGCGGCATCGACATTGAGTTAGGCTCCCCCGACGACGCTGAGATCGTGGAGACACGCTACGGCTTAGCGAACGCAAAGGTGGCGGAAATGGCGGAGATATTGTCGCGTGAGATGCCGCGGGTAAGTGCGTCGATGCGGACGCTGCTGAAAGACCTTGCTGACAATGGTATTGCCCTCGCAGTGGTGACGTACAGTCGAAGCCTCAAGGCGCTGATGCAGTACAATCCCGATGTGATGCCGCTGTTCCTCGCTAGCATTGACGGCGAGGAGGCGTACGACAGGCACATCAAGAGCCGCCCTCACGTTGATCTATTCCTGCGCGCCGCGGAGAAGATTCATGTGGACCCGTCGCGCTGTGTCGTCTTCTCCTCGCACCTGGACCGCGGCTACAAGGTGAATGAACTCGCCAGGTTCTGCATGTTCTTTGACGTGGAGGACCCGTTTGTGGTGGGGCGTGTGGCGCCGCAGCCGTACCCGGTGATTGGCGCGGAAGAGGCAACGGAAGAAACAGCAGGGCGCGTTGGTGGCCCGCTTATTCTGCGTCTTCCGATGGGAGGTTTACCAACGACGATTGATGCATTGGAGGATATGCTCTACGAGCAGTGCGCCCCCGGAGCCGATCGACGCGCAGCATGAGTCCTCTGCGGAGCAAACAGCAGCAGAAAAGAAACGAACAGAAAAAAAAGGATGTGATAAGGTTAAGGTAGTATCCGGTAAGATATGGCGACACGTGTGTTGCAGTTGCAACACACACACATATATACACATACAAATACATGCATATACAAAAGCATACGAGGGTGAGCTGCACAAGTAGCAGCGAAGTCGACCTTTCTTCACGTTTCAGTGATGAGATGGGTGACGCTCATTGCATATAGAGACGCAGCGGCTCTTCTTCCGTAGGTCCTGTAATACTTGATTCTTCAATTGACTCTCGTCCTTCTTTAACTCTTTCTTTCAGGCTTTATTCTGAGAGACGAAGAAAATTGGAACGACAAGAAGAAGATTGTTTGTCGGATGCATCTGTATGTGCGTGTCTCCAGTTGTTTGTGAAAGTGGTGAGATGACGGAGGTGTTGTGGTGTGACACACTGTGTAGCGGCATATCGCGAAACAGGAAGTCAAACGATATAAATAAATAAAAATAAATCTATCCACAAAGGGCAGTAAACAACAAAGTGGAAAGTGGGCCTTCATTCTCCTGTCCCATTTTCTCCTTTTTTTTTCCTTTAAATATGCTCTCCTTTAGTAGCTTGCCATCATGACGGTAGCGGAGACACTGGGCCCATTATTTACGCTGATGATCGCTATCAACGTCATCAGTGCGGCGCTACCTTTGTTGCGGCACCGCCTTGTGTGGTACCCGCTGGCCTTTGCGCTCTTTGGGATCGCCTGCCTCGCCGTGCTGTTGGCTGCGATGGTGACGTTCGGTGACGGCACTGTGTCGCTCTACAGTCTGGGCGCCAGGGGGAAGCTGCGGTCGTCGGTGACGGTACCGTTCGATCTACCCCTCTTTCTGCAGCTCAACGTGACGATGACGTCACTGATGGCGGTTTCGGTGCTGGCGATGGTGTGCTGGATGTGCCACGTGTGCCGACGTGGCTGGCATATCTACATTGTACCGATGCTGCGTGACCTGAATAAGCTGGAGGAGACGTGTTGGGCCAACGCGTTGGATCTCCGCAACCGCACAGCCCCAGCTGCGTCGTGACATCATGGGGGGGGGCACGCAGTAGCTTGGTGGCGCTGCGCCAGTCAAACAAGCAAACTCCCACACACATACCACACAAATGGACTCACAGAGGAAGAGGAGAGAACAAAAAGAGCCTCTGTCCCTTCGCGTCTGTTTTACATACTTATACATCAGTACATTTGTCCTCTCACTTCCTCTCAATTTATTCTCCAGGGGAAGGGTTTGAGGGGTGTTATTTGGTTTACAACGTGGTAGTGGACGAGGAAAGGCTGCATTGTCGCCCTCACAGACAGTTGTCACATTCATAGCAGCAGCAGCAGCAGCAGCAGCACTTTACAACGTTTCGAAACACACTCGTCTTGTGGAGGTCCACGGGGAGCATTCTGCGGCTCACGCGTGTTTTTAGAAAGCCAAAAGTGAGACTCGTCCCCGCCTCCTCTGTATCAGGCGCTTCCCAACCAAAGTCAGCGACTGTTACACGAATGGCACGGAAGCCCAACACGGTCGTCGTGCTGCACCCAGTGAACAGTGCCATCGTCACATTGGACCTCTGCATTCAGCTAGGAAGCCCCTTGGCTCCCGTCTGGCAGAAGAGCATGGCGAGAGATCAAGATGAGATGGCAAGCAAAACAATCGAGCGCCTCCAGATCCTCCTAGCACAGCAGAAGGGGAATAAAAGTAGCAAACGGACGACGAGGGAGGAGATACTCAAGAACTGTGAGACCATTGAAGTTCTCGGTGTAGAAAATGAGGAGCGTCAGGTGGAGAAGGAACAAGACACGGCATCGGAAGCAAAAACATCAACACCAAGTAGAATAGAGCTACGAAGTTTGGATACCTCGGTACCTAACAAGATTTTCTGGAAGCTTGCAAGGCTACTGCAGATTGGATCGATGACTCTGGAAGTCAAGTACAACGTGCCGACTATCACTTCAGTTGTGCCTCCTTCCGCACTGTATGTTGGAGTACCAGCTGTCTGCTCCGGCATCACTGCACTTTTTACATCGGAGGTTGATGTTCGCCACGAGTGGTGCGTGCGCAGTGCTGAATCAGGTGATAAGACTTCGTTGCGTGTAATCTCGACGGATGCTGTCTTCACGCCGTCTGAGGAGCAATTGGGGAAGTCGCTGCTGTTGCGTGTGTCGCCGAGTTCGGACTCCGACCTCTGGACGCAGGTGGATTTACCGCCTGTTCTCAGCGCACTGCCCTCTGCTGACCGATGGCGCCACACGAAACAGCCGGTAGAGGCACCAGTGTTCAGGACGGTCACGTACAATGTGCTCCACGATGAGTTCTGCAGTACAGGGTCTGCAAAAAGGCGCATCTACCCTTTCGCGACAGACGCTGTCTTGGCCTTGGAATACCGACAGGTACGTATTGTACAGGAACTTCTAGCATATAATGCAGATTTGATTTGTCTTCAGGAATGTGGGAAGAAGGTATACCACCAATACTTTGAGCGTGTCTTGCGTCACCACGGTTACGAAGGGCGTTACACCAACAAGAGTGGGGGAGTGCGGGAGGGCTGTGCAAGCTTCTGGCGAAGCAGCCGATTTTGCCTGCAAAATTTACACGAGTTTTCCCTCAACTGGGCTACACTGCAGCAGGACCACCCTGAACTGGCTGCACAGGTAGCAGATCACGCCGAGCTGCAGGAGGCTCTCGAGAATATCACATCCATTGGCACGGTTCTGGTGCTGAAGGATCTCCATACTCGGGAAGATCTGCTTGTCGGTAACACACACCTCTTCTATCATGCTAACGCGTGTCACATACGTATGCTACAGACATATATGCTCCTATACAAGCTAAAGCTTCTCAGCAAATCGCAGTGTCCTGTGGTTCTTTGTGGAGACTTTAACTTTACACACACGACAGGTGGTTATAAACTCGCAACGACAGGTCGGGCGGAGGCAACGCATCATTCGTGGAACAAGGGAGAGCTCTTCTACTGGGGCTGCGACCGGATGCTTGGTGTTGACGCGGAGGAAGAAGTTAATGAGGACGTTGGCTCAGTGGCGGCGGCAGCAGAAACAAAAACAATAACAACGACCGCAACATCAACGCCACCGCCGCCAAGCATCCAGGCCGGGCATCAGCCGCCGTTCAAAGCTTTTAAACATGACCTCCTCGCCCCACTACAGCTTGCCGACGCATATGGCTTGACGGACCCGGACATGCCGTGGACTAATTACACGATGACGTTCCGCGAGGTCATTGACTATGTCTTCTTTGCTCCAGCGCGACTCTTGGTTGTGCGCACGATTCCTATTCCACCGGAGAGCGAACTCGCGGAGGATGTCGCGCTGCCGAACAAGCGGTACCCGTCAGATCATGTCGCACTGATTGTTGATTTGTCGTACCAGCCCCTGCCCTCGTGATGAGATAAAGGGTTTCGGAAGACAACGTTTTCTATCTGTTGTTTCCCTGTGTTTGGCTAAGTTGAAATATCTTAAATCGCGTGTTCTTCGGCTGCTCGGTTCGTTTCGTTTGCGGTGGAGCAGAGCCCGGCACATACCGGTGAAATAAATTATGCTCTTTGTTTTTCACAATACACATATTCGCTCCTACCCCCTCCCCCCCNTTTTTAAATTCTTCTTATCCTCTTCTTTTCAAACGATTACTACTGATGAAAATCCTAATGTCAATGTTATCACGGTGATGAAAGGGCGGTAAAGACACGTGGAGCGCCGCAAAGAGACGCCCAAAGGTAGGGGAGCTAGCAAAGTGGAACAGTTACTGCAGTATGCTATCGCCGACTTCTCGTTGTGCCTGTATAGGCAAGGAGTTGTATGGAGCAACCTCGACGCTCCCACGGGACTTCTACCAGGCTTGCCGCAACCACTTCGGCATCACACTCCACCATGAGACCTTCATTGGTGTGCGTTCCTCGCAGGTGCGGGGATTGTTCCTGTCCAACAACAGCAAGCCTGTGTTGGCGAATCAACCCATCGCCACCATCCCGCTCATGAGCTTGTACACGACGGAAAACATCAATACTAAACCTGACACACTTCGTCATGTGACACTGACTGACGTTCGCAATGCGGTGCGTGACGAGGAGTTTAAGGTGATGGCGCCGCAGTTTTACCTCGGGCTGCAGTTTAGCGCCATTATCTCCAGTCTTCCTGATATTACGCATGCGCAGAGCGCGGAGGACGTGGAGCGCATTACGCAAATTCTGCAAGGTGGTGCTATGCCTTGGGCGCGAATGATTGACGATGAGGACTTTAACGAACAATTTATTTTTGGTATGTATGGCATGGCGCTCGACACATGGCAGCGACAGAGCTATGAGGAAATGACAAAGATGCTCCATCGCAACATCACTGCAATTCATGAAAGGTTCCAACCCCCGTTCACAGTGGACACATATAGGCGTATTGCACGTTTGGTGCTGGCACGGGCGGAGCATATGCCGCCGTTAGACTATTATGACGGCGCTGCGGTTTGGCGTCGCGTTCGCCGCTCCGTGCGCCGGTGGATGAAGGTGCCGGATCCGGCGGTGGTTTGTCTGGTGCCGCTGCTGGATCTTGTTAACCACTCGAACCGGCCCAACTGCGGTATCCGAGTCGGCCCGAGCCGTGTCACAGCCGGGAAGGGTGCCATCACAATTTATTCCCTCACCCGCATCGAACCCGGGCAGGAGATCTGTCGGCATTACAACTTTGCCATCAACCGCCCCAACGCACTGTTTCGATACGGGTTTCTGCCTTTCGACCTTATCTCGATCGTGGAGCATGACGCAATTGACGAGTACCTCGTAAAGAATCAGCACATGCTGCGCGAAGAATCTGAGGAGATAAATCTAAAGCGGGAAAGGGAGAGGAAAGAAATACAGCGGCTTGAGAAGATTTATCGACAAGCGCGAGCTGGACGGGGGCATGAGAACTTACCGGGGGACTAGTGGATAGTGTGCCTCTCGTTGGCGCAAGCATCGTTGGCTACTTCCTCGTACCAACAAGCGGTTCTCCCCTTTTGTTGTTGTCGCTCTCATATTATTATTATTATTATTATTTTTGGTGTGCATATTGTGTATTGTATATTTTTGCTGTATTTATTATTGTTCTCACTTTGGTTCTACTTGTTTGTTGTTTGTGCTGCTTCTTTAGTGTGCAATTGTGTAGAAACAAAACGAAAGTGTAGAAGGTGCAAAGTGTAAGAAGGGATATCTCTCGTAAGAGCGGAGTTTTGCCAGTCGCCTCAAACTGGCAGCTCTTCTTCCTCCACAGTGGTACGTGGAGGGTGTGCGAACGAGTCCACATTCTGAATTCCAAAAAAAAAAAGGTGCGGGGAGGTAAACGTAACGCCTTCACTACAGGCGTCGTGTTGCGACTGCGGACCTCTCATGCGGCGTGTAAGTGGGGGCCTCACAGTCCCTTTCGTGACGTACCTCCCGATCACTGGCCACAGGGGTACACTGCGTTACTACAGCAGCAGCAGCCGTAGCAGCAACGACAACAACAACAACAACAACGATAACAGCAACACGGCGGTAGGGAAGACTGGCAAGGAAAAGGCAGGTCGCTATGATGAGAAGCCGACACCGGAGAGTGCCCCACATATTCCCACCAGGCAACGTGGAAAGCAGCATGAGAGTGATGCCCAGCTGATCAACATTACAGAGGTTTCAACACGCGCTGGTGTGCGTTGGCTGGATGTGTCTGGACGCACACATGCGTGGGCTGAAAACTCTTTCCTCCGCGAGGGCGAATTCGTGGAGTACGCAATGAAGGCGCTGCGCAACTGGCAACTGCCGCCTGACATGATCGCGAAAGTTGCCCAGGGCGAGCGTCCAATGCCGTTTGTGCACGTTGAGGAAACTTGGGCAAGCCTAACACTGCGCTGCGCTCAGCAGAACCCCCGCTGGCTCTCGTCGCTTCTGCACGAAAAAGTGAAGGACTTCCGTGTGACTGGCGATGAAAGGGCACGCCGTGAGAAGGGGCTCGAAATGCGCGATGACGAGGATGAGGTCCTCCGTGACGTGGACGAGGCCCGTGTGCGCAGCGGGCGCAACAGGGCCCTCGCCGGCCGCAACGAGAGGCGCTGGGTTGCCGCGCACGCAACCATAACGGAGCTGACGGACCGCCTCCACATCTTCCTGCTGAAGGAAGACTGCCCGCCGACCGAGATGGCGGGTGAGAAGGAGGACGAGGAGAAGGGGCACCGCCGAAACGTGCACTGGCGCGTGGTGACAGTGCACCGCTACCGGGTGCCATTTCTGGAGGACATGCTGAGAAACTGGGCAACGAGCAAACTTCGGGGCGAGACATGGGTCGGGGTCGTGCGTCGTATCGTTCACGGCACCACCATGAGCGTGCAGAGTGTCAACTACAAGTACGCCGAGCGGCTGGACGAGGTGGAGGCGATACTGTTTAGGTCTGAGACGAAGATGCACGAGCTTTCCAAGGTCCTCGCGCAAGTGCACATTGTTCACCGGCGTACAAAAATCCACGCAAACCTCCTCCGTGAGACACAAAGATGCTACCCCAAACTACTGACCTCCTTGAAGATACCCATCGAGATACAGGACCAAAGGGAGATCCTTCTTATCTCGAATGCCCTATCACTCGCTGAAGAACTTCACGATCAGACGCGATCGCTACTGGCTCTCCAATTTTCTGTTGCAGCGTACATGCTCGAAGATCATCTTCGCATGTTAACGATATTCACAAC